AATAAATAAATCTTAAAAAGAGAGAGAGAAAGAGAAAGAGAGAGGGGGGGGGGGTGCGGCCTTTAGAAGGTAATTGAGTCACGATGACTGAGATTTGGCACCTTTACAAAAGGGCTCTGCTGAAGGAGTTCACCCTTTGTCACCCTGCATCTCATCATGCTGTGAGGACACAGCCCCTCCCCACCCCTCCCCTCCCCTCCCCCTCCCTTCCCTCCCCTCTCCTCCCCTCCCCTCTCCTCTCCTCTCCCTTTCTGAGGTATTTTGCTATAGCAGCACAAATGGACTAAGACAGGTTGTTTCCTTAAGAAGGGGAGCAGATGAAAAGCAGATGGTAAAAAGAGGTGACCGTGAACCTGGAAGCCAAGGGATATTTATGCAGATTCAATCTGCTGAGGATGAGCAAGTTTGTGGAGCAGAAGTATTTCTAGAATCACTTTTTCAATATACTGTAAAGAAATCTACTTCTATGATGAGTAAAATATATACATATACATGTACTACACACACAGGCACATCCTTGTTGAAAAATAACTACTTATTTTTAGCTACTGTTCTTTTAAAGCATCAAGATATTGAATCATGCAGACACAACCCAAGTATTTAATTTAGACTATTATCAGCTGATTCAAAGGCATCCTACATGTCCACTGTGAAAGGCAGAAGCACACCATTAAGAAAGGGGTGGTCGGGTTCTAGTCCCGGTCAGGGCGCCGGATTCTGTCCAGGTTGCCCCTCTTCCAGGCCAGCTCTCTGCTGTGGCCAGGGAGTGCAGTGAGGGATGGCCCAAGGGCTTGGGCCCTGCACCCCATGGGAGACCAGGATAAGTACCTGGCTCCTGCCATCGGATCAGCATGGTGCGCCAGCCGCAGCGCGCCGGCTGCGGCAGCCATTGGAGGGTGAAAGGAGGACCTTTCTCTCTGTCTCTCTCTCTCACTGACCACTCTGCCTGTCAAAAAAAAAAAAAAGGGGGGGGGGGGTGGAGCCTTTCCTTTCCATGGACACAATTACAATCTAGGTAGCTCTTGCAAAAGCTGGGAGTTTCGCAGACAGCTCCCCAGAGGTACGTGTATTGCGCTTTGGGCACTATTGTCAACTTGAAGAAAAGCAGGGAAAAGGAACCTCAGACTTAGGCAGTCAGCAGAGGTTTTATTAAAAGATTGAAGTGAGACCTTGTACATGAACGGCTTTAGATACTTTTGACCATGTGAACAACCCAGGTCCTTCACAGCTTCCAGCAGAAGTAGCTTGACTGTGGTCTCTCCACCCTCTCATCACCATTCAAAAACACCATCACTGTTGGCATCCTTCAGCTAACAAGTCTACAACATGAATGACTGCCTTGTCCAGGTATCATCCTGTCTGTTCAGCCTGAGCATCCAGTCCTCCTCACTTAGTAATCGGCTGATGGGCACCTGCAATATACCAGCACCTAAGTGAGATATGGCGACTGGGAGAGAAATAAAACACCCTTCCTTGATCGCCAGGAGCTTATCACATGTAACTGGCTGGGACACTTACCACTGTCTCTCTCTGTTTTTAAAGGTGTATTGATTTTTTACTTGAAAGGTAGAGTGACAGAGGAGGAGGAGGAGGAGGAGAAGGAGAAGAGGAAAAGAGGAAGAAGGGGGGAGGAGGAGGAGGAGAGAGAGAGAGAGAGAGAAAGAGAGAGAGAGAGAGAGAAAGAGAGAGAGGGAAAGTCTTCCATCCTCTGGTTCATATCACAAATGCCTGCAACAGCCAGTGCTGGGCCAGGCCAAAGCCAGGAGCCAGAAACTCCATCCAGCTCTCCCACATGTATGGCAAGAACCCAACTACTTGAGCCATCATCCACAGCCTCCCAGGTGCATTAGCTGGGAGCTAGATCAGAAGTGTGGCGCGCGCTCTCTCTCTCTCTCTCTCTCTCAATATATCTCAATGACTCTCAATATCTCTCAATAACTCTCTCTCTCAAATAAATAAACAATAAAATTTTTAAAAAGGAAGTTAAGTAACTTGCTTAAGGTTCTGAGGCTATATTGTGAACAACAGAGGTAAAATCTCTGCTATAATGAAACTTTCATTAAAGAAACAAAATAATTTCATGATCATGAATGCAATGAGGAAAAGAAAATAAGATGTGGGGATATGGCAGCGACAGGGTACACTTTTCTAAGGAAGTGGCATTCCAGGGACTTGTTGCCCCTCCCTATCCCTGATCTAGGCACAGAGCCAGCTTGGTTTACCTCAACACACACTCCTATAACTCTGAATCTTGTTAGTGAACTACCGGATTCTTATTTCTTTTATGAAGGCGCCAGACCCTTACCCATGGTTGCTGCTGTTTGCTTGGTGTATTCACAGAGAAATGCATTCTGTATCACTGCACGATCTACTCCACAAGTGACCAGAAATGACAATCTGGCGCAGCAAGTTCCACGGCAAAGGAAAGCAGAAGGGGCTGTGTTTCCCAGCAGAGGCACCTAACTAGGCTTGGAGGAGGAGGCGGACAAAGCACAGCGGATTCAGAAGCTCCAGTCAAATGCAGGCCCTGACCCTCTTCTCAAACCCTCACTCTACGAACTACCACAGTTAGGAAATACTCCCTACTTTCTCTGTGAAGATGGAGACAACTGGCACTTCCAGGATAGCCTTGGGCAGCAGTGCCCACAAGGAGGCCCAAATCCTCCTGCTGGGATCTCTTGAGTACCTTGGATTTCTATATTTTCACCGGGACCCTGGGGTAGGAGAAACCTTACTCTCAGGGCTGCTGCTAACCCATAGAGTAGTTGTTCTCATTTCTTTCTTTCTTTCTTTCTTTTTTTTTTTTTTTTGACAGGCAGAGTGGACAGTGAGAGAGAGACAGAGAGAAAGGTCTTCCTTTGCCGTTGGTTCACCCCCCAATGGCCGCTGCAGCCGGCGCTCCACGCCTATCCGTAGGCAGGAGCCAGGTGCTTATCCTGGTCTCCCATGGGGTGCAGGGCCCAAGCACTTTGGCCATCCTCCACTGCACTCCCTGGCCACAGCAGAGAGCTGGCCTGGAAGAGGGGCAACCGGGACAGAATCCGGTGCCCCGACCAGGACTAGAACCCGGTGTGCTGGCGCCGCAAGGCGGAGGATTAGCCTACTGAGCCGCAGTGCCGGCCAACTCATTTCTTAGGTCTGCTGTCACCAAGCACCACAGACTGGTGGCTTAGAATAACCGAAGCTTATTCTCTTATGGTCTTGGAGACTGCAAGTCCCAAACAGAGGGTCAACAGGGTTGGCTCCATCTGAAGGTTCTGAGGGAAAATATTCTAGGCTCTCCTCGCTCCTGGTGGTTGCCAGCGAGGTTTTGCAGTCCTTGGCCTGCAGCCACATTGGGGCCAGTCTCCTCCATCACACTTAGCCTTCCTCATTGTGTCTGTGATTCTGTGTCTGACTCTCCCTCTCCTTTCTCTTATAAAGACATCAGTCATAGCATCCAGGGCCCACTCTAATCTACTAGCGCCTCATCATAACTTGACTGTATTTCCAAATAAGGTCACATTCACAGAGACTAGGGTTAGGACTTGAATCCTTCTTTTAGGGCGAAACAATTCAACCTGCAACAGCACCTTTATGCAAATTGGAAACAGGTGCCCCCTTCGAATGAATGCTGCCACTCTGCTCATGGCTCGGTGAGCAGATGTCATTTTTGTATGAATTACAAAATAGAACCCTTTCTCCTAGTGGAGGCAGCTCCAAACCAGGACACAAGGCTTTGTACTTGTAGCCTAGGCTGGATTTCTCATTTGGCCACTTATGGCTCCCACTCCAGGACACGCACAGGTACTCGCCCTTGCCTGCTCTGCTCTCAGACAGCTGCCTCTCGCCCATCCCTCCCTCCCCCTGCCCACCTTGCTCCTTCCATTGTCATATCCTAGGGATAGGGCCCATTCCTGTTCTCTATCCGTTTTTGGATGTCTTTTGAGGAATCATCTGATTCTGTATCTCCCGTGAACAGCTGACATTTTTGCCTGGTCAACATCTGTTCCCTTTTCTGGAAACTGTCCTAATTCTCTTTTGGGGCAATTGTCCCTCTCCTACTTGCAGTTCATCTGGTTTGGGTGGGACTGATCCCATTCTCCAACTGCAGAGATGGGCTTGGCTGATCAGAGCACCTCACACCCTGGTATAATGATTGAGCTTAGAATATTTGATAAATAACCCTGATTTTTGCCAAAACTATTGAAGCAGCGGCATTCTCATGCAACAATAAGATGCCTTATTGTTGGGATAAACCTGAAGCCAGCAGGGAATGAAGCCAACCCAGAAGAGAGTGAAGCTAAGAGGCAGAGAATCCTGATAATATAATGTAATCACCTGATTCCAGCTATGCCTGAAGCCAGATATATCCCTGCATTTACAGTAACATGAGCCAACAAATTCTGCTCCCACCATGACCCCTTATTTTTTCCCTTATAATTGTCAGATGTGTGTTTGTGTCATTTGTAAGCAGAAGAATCCAGATTGAATGCTGTATGTGACACTGCTCTGTGCTTCCAAAGCTCTGTGCTCTCTGGCCCACCAGGGTCTTCATGCTGTACTGAATTAGCTGCCTGCCTAGACCTGTTAAGATTCTTCAAGGAGTGAGGGCGTGGCACTAGGGAGTGGGCTCTGCCCCTCCTAGAGCTGCCAATGCTGTCTGCATTTTGCTTCACTTTCCCAGGCTCACATCTTCTCAGCTCAGGGTATCCTAACCCTGCTAAGCTGCAGTGAGGGACACACTGCTGCTTGTTAGTCTCTGCATCACCCAGCTGGTTAGCTCCCCCAGAGACCTCTTCCAGTGCCAGTGTTTCTTCCTCTGTGAAGCCTTCTCGGACTGTTGCGGTCTACCCGGATCTCCTTCTTTTCTGAAACCACCGTGAACCACTGCATTGTATTGTGGCTGTTGTGGCACTGGTGCTGGTCCAGTTTTCCCAGTGCCTTTCAAAAATTTCAGAAGGCAGAAGTCTCCTTCCAAAATTCTTCACATAAGCTCAGAGAAGAGTCACACTATGATATGTGGTTCAGATGAACTTTAATGCACACACCATCAGTGCTACTATAATAAGAAGAACAGATATATTAAGAAAATCCAGTTTGTATCAATAAAACATATCAACACAGAACAGGGAGGTACCATAGATATTTGCAAATGGGTACCCTATATTTCCACATATCTCTTGATATTTGTACACAGCTCACAGCATCATGTGACATTTCCTGTTTCGTATGCCACTGAGAAGAGGTGTTAGTATGCAGAACACAGCCAGAATAAAAGAGCATGAAAACAGCTGCTAAGCGGGAACCTGATGGGGAGAGACAGGAGAGTTACTATTCCTCTCTGCTCAGTCTTGCAGAGGGACAGCTCCAATTTTTGCTAATTGCTCCTCCCGAGGAATTGTGCTCAGCCCATTACAGTACTTCTTCTCAGCTGGCATGACATCAGCCTGGTCCCTGGTTGAGCAAGTTAGAAAGAGCAATTGGGGGAATTGAAGACAGTTTGCAAACCGAGGAAGGCAGCATCTCTCTGCGTGACTGCGGGTCCATCTGCCTCTGGCTCTGGGACATGAGGAAAGCCTCGGCTGCTCAACCCTGCTCTGGGTTCAGTCTTGTGAGGGAGTGGGAGTGGTGAGAGGAGTGTGTTCCTCTCCCTCCTTTTCTCCCACAAGCAGACAACAAGCCAGGTGTAGACACAATTGCTGCTCAGGGTTTCTCTTCAGCTGCCCTCCTTCTGCCATCATCCCAAGCCCTGAGCCTCTCCCCACCTCCACACAGGCAGGGTCCAGGAACAGGAGGCAGCTCCCACCCTGTTCTGAGACCAACCAAGGCATTTACAGCAGTCTCCATGTAGTCATGGGTACCCTGTTTCACTGATGCAGGTGCCAGCTTTCCTCATTTCAGTACAGGGAATGATAGACTCCCTATCACAGGGTTGTGTCAAAGATCACTGGAGTGGCCGGCGCTGTGGCTCACTAGGCTAATCCTCCACCTAGCGGCGCCGGCACACCGGGTTCTAGTCCCGGTCGGGGCGCTGGATTCTGTCCCGGTTGCCCCTCTTCCAGGCCAGCTCTCTGCTGTGGCCCGGGAAGTGCAGTGGAGGATGGCCCAGGTGCTTGGGCCCTGCACCCCATGGGAGACCAGGATAAGTACCTGGCTCCTGCTATCAGATCAGCGTGGTGCACCGGCCACAGTGCGCCGGCCGCGGCGGCCATTGGAGGGTGAACCAACGGCAAAGGAAGACCTTTCTCTCTGTCTCTCTCTCACTATCCACTCTGCCTGTCAAAAAAAGAAAGAAAATCACTAGAGCTTGGATGAGAAAGGGCTTTTGGAACTGTCAAGAGTGCTGAGTACACGATTAGTGTTTTTTTGCTATGGTGTTCTAATTATAGTGCTGAGGGACTCTCCTATCTGCTCTTTCCTCCTGGGCCTTGACACCATCATGGCACACTGCTCTGTTCATCCAAACGCCAGCATGCACTGGCTGATTCTTCTTGGCTGCCTTTACTTCCAGAAGTTTCTCAGAAGACAACCAATTTAAAGGCCTGTTGCCCTGGTATTTTCAGGTAAGGTTAGGTTCCTGGGACCAAATGTGAACTGGGGGGTGGGGGAGGTGGAGGATGGATGGAGCCCTTGGGAAGGGCTTCGGGAGGGGTGTACTCAGCCCCATTCTGGCACAAACACTGCCTACCCCTTAGCCCCTCACAATGTTTTCTGTCCACAACATTTTAGTTTCTAAAACATACTTTTAGGAACTGGCACTGTGGTGCATCAGGTAAAGTCCTGGTCTGCAGTGCTGGCATCCCATATGGGCACCGGTTCTAGTTCTGGCTGCTCCTCTTCTGATCAAGCTCTCTGCTACAGCCTGGGAAAGCAGTGGAAAATGGCCCAAGACTTTGGGCCCCTGCATCTGCATGAGAGACCCGGAAGAAGCTCTTGGCTCTGGATCGGCGCAGCTCTGGCCATTATGGCCATTTGGGGAGTGAACCAGTGAGTGGAAGACCTCTCTCTCTGTCTCTACCTCTCTCTGTAACTCTTTCAAATAAATAAATATTTACAAAAAACCATACTTTTATTTGACCTTCTAACTATTTTGTGAGGTAGGCAAGATTATTAATCTCATTGTATAGATGAAATATGCTTGTCCAAGATCACAGTTTGCTGATGTCAGGACTTAAATGCAGATTCCTGTGCCCTGGAGGGCACCCCTAACAAAGGCTCCAGAACACTCTAAGCCCTCATTGTGGGGTCATTCTTCACTTCTGGAGGCTGGTTTCTGGGAGAAGTGCATGGGGCACCATTCTACCAGGTGTCTGGTGGCAGCCCCTTCCAAACATCTTGGATTAGATCTGCCTTCCTGACGCCACCTGGTTGGAATGACTTTGTGTCTGCTACAGTCAACACCACATTTGGGACCTACTATGTGCACCAGGCACTGCATGAAGGGCTTCCTATCCGTGCTCTCATTTAATCTTTTCAACAGCCTTGTGAGATAGATGTTTTCCCACTTACATAACTGAGGCTTTGAGAGTAATCTGTCCAAAGTTACAAGAGTAGTGATGAGGACCCAAAACCCACATCTGTCAGACTATAAGTCCTAGGCACTTAACCACTCTGCGAAAATACTTCTTAGACCTCATCCTCTCATCTGATGTTTAAAGAGATCTGAAAATAGTTGACTACTTGCAAATCTCTCAGCTCTTTGGTTTTCAGGCTTCCAGCTGCATGGCAGTGTTTGTCCTCAGACAGATCTTGCCAGCTCAGCCTGTCACATGCCTGGTGCCTGAAAAATTAAGTCTTCCTTGAATGGGAATACGTTTCTGGCTTTTGAAACACATTGCTTGATCTCAACCACAAGGCTCTCTGCTTCTTTCTCAACAAGTCGCCTCGGGGATTCTTGCTTTCCTCTTCCTCTTGCTACCTTTGAGGGACCTCCAGCCCAGGACCATCATGCATGGATGGTCCAGATGCACTTAATTGCTAAGATGCTGTCTGGAAGCCTCAGAAGCCAGGACCATAAGGCTGGCTGAGTGATGAGGGGGTCACGCAGCCTTGGCTGTTTTCATTGTACTCAAGAAGCAAGGAGGCATTCACAATGAAAGGATTCCTGCCAAAATCGTGTTTACCATTTGCAGCTCTTACAGAAAATGGGCAGAGTCACAGAGCAACAGTGCTAGGAGTGCCTGCAAAAACCATCCTGCCTAGGCTCTTCATTGAAGCCCAGGAATAGGACTTGTCTTAACCAAGGCTTCACAGCCTATTAGCTTTATCCCAGCCCATTGTTAACCTCAGGAAAAGACACATTAAAATCTAAAGGGAGATGAGAATTCTAAGCATACTCCTCAGGGATTTGATTTACTTTGCTTTGCATTAGCATTTCTATGATGTGATTTTGTTCCAAGGATAGGGAAATCTTTTAGCGATTTCCTATTTGAGTATTTGCTATGTGATCATTTCAACGAAACAGAAGTAGGCTGAAGCATATGCCACACAGCTTGGTCTGGTCAGTGGTGGGCTCTTGAGATGCTGATGTCACTGAGATGGCTGGAAAATAGGAAAAAGGATAGACAAAGGGATGGCAGTAGTGTTAACTGTTTGGCTTTTTAAAAAAGATTTATTTTATTTATTTGAAAGGCAGAGTTATGGGGGGGGGGGGGGAGACAGGTCTTCCATCTGATGGTTCACTTCCCAAATGGCCTCAACAGCTTGGTCTGGGCCAGGACAAAGGCAGGGGCCAGTAGCTTCTTCTAGTTCTCCCATGTGGGTGCAGGGACCCAAGCACCTGGGCCATCCTCTGTTACTTTTCCAGGAGCTGGATCAGAAGTGGAGCAGCCGGGACCTGAACTAGCACCCATATGGTAGCTTCACTTGATACCCCAACTAGCACCCAAGTGGCAGCTTAACTTGATACCCCACAGTGCTGGCCTCTTATCTAGCTTCTGAGCACCTGGGAAACCAGACCTGTGTGGGCCAGTGACCCCGAGGCATTAGGACCTTTGCCTGTACCACCACCAGCGTGCATGGAGAACTGCTTCACACCTTGAGAAACCCCTCTTCCTCACGCACTACAAGAGGGGAGGGTGGCAAAGAGGGTAGGTGTATTTTTCAGACTGTACAGTCTGGATCACCATGCCAGTGAGGTGTTCTGAAAGGCCTACATTTGAAAATTAGAATTTATTCACTTTGGAGTTGAAAGGATATATGAAAGAGAAAACTGAGATCCAAAGAAGAAACAATATATTTTGGGGAGGATTCTGATTGGTTCTGCATGATCTCAAGCTCTCTTTACTGACAGTCTTCACTAGGATCACTTGGTTTCAGTAAAGTGATCACCATTGCCAGAAGAAATAGGGGAATAAATGACAGCTGGTTGTTCCTAGAAATGACTTACAGAGGCGCAGGGGTGGATTTAGGACTAGAAACAAAATGAATTTTAAAAAACTACTACTAATAATAATGCTATTATTAAGTGTCTGGATTATTTTCATGTGTGATATTGAAGAAAAATCTGTTACTGAGTTTATTCATTTATATTTTTAAAAAATATTTATTTGAAAGGCAGAGTTAGAGAGAGAGAGGGAGAAACACAGAGATCTTCCACCAGCTAGTTCACTCCCTAAGTGGCCACAAAGGGTAGGGCTAGGCCAGGCCGAAGCCAGGAGCCAGGATGGGTGGCAGGAGCCCAAGCACTTGAACCATCATCCACTGCTTTCCCAGGTGCACTGGCAGTGAGCTAGATAGGAAGTGGCACAGCCAGGACACAAACTGGCACCCATATGGAGTGCTGGTGTCTCTAGTGGCATACCACAACACCAATCCTTTTTTTTTTTTTTTGTATTTTTAAAAGATTTCTATTGTGTGAAGGATGGATTGTAAGGAAACAAATGGAAACCAGCTAGAAAATCTGTGGTAGCTCTCTAGAGGAGAAACAATGATAGCTTGGACCAAGGTCATGACAATGGAAATGAAGAAAGAAGGCATATTTGAGATAAGTAGGAAGGCAGGCATTTGGTCTGGCAGTTAAGACACTGTCCCATATTAGAGTGCAAGGGTTTGATTCCCAGTTTCAGATTCCAGCTTCTTATCAGTGCAGACTCTGGATAAAAGGTGTTGGGTAGTTGGGTCCCTGCCACCCATGTGGGAGACCCAGATTAAGTTCCTGGATCTTAATTGTTATTGTGGGCATTTGAGAAGTGAACCAGTGGGTGGGAGCTCTGTCTCTGTCCCTTTCTCTTCTTCTTGAATTAAAAAAAAAACTATAGAACCATAGGATTTGTTGCTGGTTTAGATGCAGACTAAGAAAAGAGGAAAATCCAGGAATTAAGGATGTCACCTAGGTTTCTCTGAAGACTAATTTTCACAGAAGTCATATCATGTTTGGGACAGAGTTGAGTTTCTATTTGTGCCTATTGAGACATGGAAATAAATATCTAGTATGAACTTGGGTATACATGTCATTACCAAAGACTTGGCATCTATAGCCTCAGAACTCAATGAGTACTCCAGGAAAGAGTATAACCAGAGCATAGGGCCTGACTGTTCTCTGAGCCATCTTTTCTGTACACACTGAGTCCTTCTGTGGGCTTCTGGGCAGGAATTTCAGGTAGGAATCACAACCATCATCTATAGGGAATCCCTTGGAATGAGAAGCCAGATTTATCCTCAGAAAAAGCAGAAAAAGCTAATAAGTAACCAAATGGACTGTTTAGCAAGCCTCAAAACTTCTCCAGCTTGCTGTATCTTGATGCCCCCAAAGCAGGCTCTTTGTACAACCAAATGATGAGACTGCCTTGCTTTAAATCATTTTGACCCTCCTCTTGGGGGGATATCCTTAGAATTAGGTCTTAAAACCCAGGAAATTTACCACACTTAGGTTCAGATAACTTAGGGGTGCTCCTGTGGTGGACTGAAAAATCAGCCACAATATTTTATATTAGATGCTATATTTCTCCACCTGTTGAGACTGGGCTTGGCTGTTAATTGCACTAGTTAGTGGGACATTAGCAAATGTGATGCGAACAGAGGCTTGAGAAGTGTTTTTGTGTTGGATCTGGCCTTCCCCTGCTGCTGGGAAAACTTCTGCCACTATGAACATTCTTTGGGCAGCCCTCTGGGAGATAACAGCATGTGAGGAGCGGCCTCAACTGCTCCAGTCCATCTCAGCTGAGACCCCAAACATGTGAAGGAATTCATTTTACACCATCCAGCGCCAGTTAGAAGAATCACCCAGCCCCACTACAGAACTGTGAGAAATGAATGTTGTTTCAGCCATTAGGATTTGGAGTGGTTTGTTAGGTCCCTAAAGGAAAACAGTGAATTCTTAACCAGGCAGTCTCTTTCACAAATACAAATATTCTTTTTCCCGCCCTTATTCTTCTTGGGGGATTTGTATTTGATCAACCATCAAAGGTCTGAACTGCAAGATGAAAGCTTACTTGAAGATGTGAAGCAATGGCCAGTGGGCAGTGGAGGTATTGGAGGCAGTAGTCTTCTTCCTAGGGCTCCTGACACAGCTCCTCAAAGTTGATTCAGGCTTCCTGACCTTGTGTTGTTGTTGTTTTAAGATTTATTTATTTATTTGAAAGTCAGAGTTACGTAGAGAGAGGAGAGGCAGAGAGAGAGAGAGAGAGAGAGAGAGAGAGAGAGATCGTCCATCTGATGGTTCACTCCCCAATTGGCCACAATGGCTGGAGCTGAGCCGATCCAAAGCCAGGAGCCAGGAGCTTCTTCCAGGTCTCCCACATGGGTGCAGGGGCCCAAGGACTTGGGCAATCTTCCACTGCTTTCCTAGGCCATAACAGGAGTAGCCAGGACTCGAACTGGTGCCCATATGGGATGCTGGCGTTTCAGGCCAGGGCATTAACCCACTGTACCACAGCGCTGGCCCCATGATCTTGTGTTTTTATGGCACCATGGACTGTTCCTTCACAGTACTTGTAATCACATCTGGGTGATGATTTGACAATATCTGAAGTAAACCATGAAGCCATGTATTTCATTAAGGCAAGGACCGTGTCTACCTTGCCAACAACTGTACCCTGGAACATACTAGACACTCATTTGTTGAATGAATAAATAAAGTTTTGTTTTCTTTATATAAGGGAGCCAGACCTTAAAGTTTTAAAAATTTAGTATTTGTATTTCATGGGATAGTCTTGCATGCATTTCTAATCATGCAACTTGATTCTCCAACTATGGCAGGTGAAGGCTTGGGATGGAGGATATGAAATCAATGAGAGCCAGGATACTGGTTGTTGTCATCCTTTCCCTACCCCCAAACTGTTGGCAAAGTCCAAAAACCATTCCTCAAGACAGTACAGGAAATTTGATATGCAAGCTAGGGGCTTTGGGGCAGGAATGGGGGATATGAGTGAGAAAGCCAGGTCTGGAGGATGTTCAATCAATTCTGTTATAAGGCTTTGGTCACAAAGCAACTGCAAACCAAAGACCCAGCTGAGGTTATTCACAACTTTGAGAAGCCTTGGGACTCTGTTACTACCACTGCCCCATTTACCTTTCATCTGAGAAAACCTGAAGAGGAAACCCAAAAGAACCTGACAGAGGTGGGTTCAAATGCTCCTGCGGATGACTTGGGCATGTTAACTTTCCAAAGGCTATGTTCCTCATCTGTCAAATTGGAATAATATTTTAGAAGCAGCATCTCCTTTAGATTTAAGGTACTTTGCTAGAAAGAATCATCATTTTTATCTATATTATCCAGGGTTTAATAGTGCTAGACCCATAGTAGGTACCCAGAATAGATGAATTTCTTCTTGAAGTGGATCAAAGAACCAATCAGGCCCCACCACTAATGCCCTGTCAGAGCAATTAAGAGATTTCTTCCCATTCTGTGGACCTCAATCTCCTCCCCACCCTGAAAAATAGAAGCCAGGACAAGAGCTTCTCTAAGCTCCCTTCCAGGACTAATATCCAACAGATATCAGACTATTCAGTATACCCTCCCCCACTGTTGCTCCTAGAAGTTAATGTTACAGACTGAGGAGACAAAACTTGCACATTGTATTTACAGATAGACACACAATGAAAACAGATTCTGTGAATAACTACAATACTGTATCATACTTTTGGCCTACTTTTTCCTCTTTTGAGGTCAAGAGTTTGTTTAATTGTCTCTTATTTGCATTTGCTTGGGAAATTGCCACTAACACACACTATATGCAGCTTGAACCTTGGTGGCTAATTGCACTGTTACCGTGATTGATGAACCTTGTGTGCAATCAGCTTGAAGCTGCTGCCTTCCACTTGCCAGAAATGAGGTCACAGAGCAGGGTGGGGAACTGCCATCTAGCAAGCAGGCCTGACTGCTGCCCAGTAGAATGGTTTGCAACTCTAAATTCCATCTGTTGTGAAGATACTTGTTCCCTTGAACTGGCTCCAGATTTTAAAGAATTTGACAGTTTTTAAGTAAAAGAATCAGCCTTTGCCTGGACACTGGGTAGGAAAGAAAAGATTAATGAACATATAGATGCTAGAATATCTAGGGGTCATGAGGATCGTGGTCTGAAATCCTGGTATTAGGTAGATGGTGTCGCTCCTTAGAAAAGATAGTAATTATCCATGAAACCATGCAACTTCGCAGCATAAAAAGCACATCTCCAGACCACTGCCTTGTGGAGGGACAGTATTCTCTCATGGTCAGAGGATTAACCAAGCCACATTGCTGAAACAAGGAGGTGGCTCAAAGCACGGCCTGGAAGCCAGGTAAGTATCACCTGGCGGAAGCAGATACAGGGAAAGTCAGCACGTGGGTCTGCCAGGCACTGAGCATTTTCTGTGCAGGCCTAAGGGACTCGGTTGTCTCAAAGACTGACTTTCCTTTCTTGAGCATCAGACATCCGTCAGCTCAGATTAGTCTCAGCGGTTGAACAATCTGTTAACAGATTAGACGTGTAAGTCTTTTCTCTAGTAGACCTGGAATCTGATGGCCCTGGGATTGAATCCTAACATGGCTCTAAAGCTGTGTGATCTTGGCCAAATCTCTTCATCTCACTGGATCACAGTTTATCTGTAAGAGATGCAGTATAAAATGTGGCCGAGCCTGCTGCCTGGGTTTGAACCCCAACTCCACTGTTGACTCATGATATGACTGTATCCAAGCTTGAACCACTTTGTACCTTTGTTTCCTGTCTTTAAATGAGATTGATTACAGTGCCTCCCCCACAAAGATGTTGGGAAGATAAATAAGTTAACACACATAGAGTACTGAGAACAATGTTACAGAGTCAGCAAGGCCTGTGTGTCACTAACTAACAATGGGCTGCTAATCCTGCTCCCTTGGGCTTTTCAGGTCCACTGAAATGGTGAAAGTCCATGCCTGTCCATGCCTGAAGGGACCTTTAAAGAGCACCCAAATAACTGCCCTCATGTTACAGGTAGGAAATCGGGACTCAGATGTGGGCACTGACTGGTCCACAGCCACACTAGGTTCAATGGCAGAGTCCAGGTCTCCTGATTCCAAGTGCAAATCTCTCCTCTACACCACACCGCACCGATGGTTCTTTTTATTTGGTTGTTAGACCAGTGGCTAGGGAACACACTTTCCTGGGATAATGGGATAATCAGCTGCATTTGAAGTGGAGAGGAAACTGAGGAGAGACTACCTGTGCCCCCCCCACCTCCACCCATGAACTTGTAACGTGTATGTTAGTGTAGTGGAAGGAGGCTGAGGATTCCTGCCGTAGTGGAGAAGAGAGATTTTCAGGAACCACTGCCAGTTCCTTGTCATTGTTTCAGCTAAAACCCAAACATGTGCCTGTGTCCAAGAAAGCTAGAATCCTGAGCTAATTCATTCTGACCTCATAGTATCTTTTTTACTTCAGGTGTTTAATGAAGGGGTGACACACACACCCCCAAGTGGTTTCACACAGGCTCTCTGGTTTCACTCTTAGGAGAATGGGGGTTGAAGTGATACCTCTGAGTTCAGCTGTTCAATTTCTCAGGGTCACGCCCCCTTAGAGTTATTCTGCTTTCAATCGCATCTCTCAGTTGGACTGCTCAGGAGTAACCGGAAGATGGGCTGAAAGAAAGGGGCATGATGGGAGGAGACCCCATGAAGAATGGCGGGTTGGATTATAGAGGTTTTGACTCAGAGAAAGGGCAGGTCCCAGATCCCTGTGCTCAGATCATCTAAGGGTACCATGGAGCACGGGGAGCAGCGACTGTGACAGTGGAGCTTATATAAATGGGGTGGGAAGAGTAAGAAGACTTTCCAGGAGCCATATTTCAGTATGAAGCAAGGAAAACTTACTGACTATGAGAGCTGCCCACAGAGAATGTGGACAATAAGCTTGCTCCCATTCCTGCCTGTTTTTGAAGCACAAAAGAAAGAGACATGGGGGGTATGAGGTTCCACAACCACTTGTCAGAGACAGGAAGGTGAGAAGTGACCAGCCCAAAGAGGTCAGGTCAATTCCCACCAACTCGAGAATTTTCAGATTCTGGGAGTCTGAGTGGAGCTCCCAGTTACGGAGCAGCTGGAAAGCTGCAGTATCAGAAACTCATGACCTATTTCTTCTTCTGGCTGGTGTTTCTCTTTGTCTTTCTCGAGCTCACTTGCTTGCCCTTTTGCAGAGCAGGAACCTTTGACATTTTGCAGGGGATAATCTTTTTCCTCTAAGTGTGTTTCTGACTCAGCCTTTGCTCCTCCAGCATCATGAGAGACCGGAGCTCTCCGGAGATTAGCTCTGGCCCTGTCACCACAGCAACTGCCCGGGCCCTGCGGGCATCCGTGGTAACAGGCACAGGGCTTGGAGAGGAAGCCCCATGGGGAGCCTGACATGAAACAAGCATGTCTGCACTTTGTGAGGCTTTCTTTGTAATAGGATTAGCTGCACAGGTGGGTCTCACTTGACACATCTGGCCAGTTCCAGAAATTGTGTGTGTATGTGTGTGTGTGTGTGTGTGTGTGTGTGAAATTTTGATAGATGGAGGAAATTTTATTTTAAAGGCAGAAAAGAGGCCAGCTTTTCAAGTCCCAGCAGTGAATCCCGTTTGTAAAACAGAAAGCGTTCTTTTGTGAGGCAAATCTCCACCCACTGCTGACCGACCTGCACTGCCAGGCTAGGGCTGGGGGTCTGTGATGGGGCCATCTGCAGCATACCCTGGGGGCAGGCCAAGAACAGCAGCAGCCTAGCTTACTCGGGCTGGGAGTGCACAGCAAGGAACAGGAGGGGCAGAGCAGGTGTGGGGCCGCAGGAGGGGATGTGAGGAGGGTGGGCCTTGCCTAGCATGAGCAGTTCTGCTGCAACAGTGGTGGGGCGTCCGACAGGCGCGTGTTCTTGGAGGCGCCCAGCATGGAGGGGTCTGTGTCCAGAGAATCTGACATCTTGTCACAAATGGCATCTACCAGGCACTCAAAGGCCTGCCTCACACTGATGTTCTCCTTGGCACTGGCTTCGAAGAAGTCAAACCCTGGAGAGAGAAGAGAGAGAAGTAAGGACTCTTTCCATCTCCCCACCGCTCCCAGCACTCTGGAGTGAAGCAAGGAGGCCAGTTCTGTGGGCAGAGGATGCTGCTCCAGGAGGTGCTACAGGGCAGGGGTTTTAGACTCAGATCTTAGTTCTACCACTGACGGCTGCTTAGCCCACAGCAAGTCACTTACTCTCTTTATAAGTCCATTTTCTGGTTTGTCAATGCTGATAATTTTTTACCTACATCATAGCTATTTCAAGTATTACATCAGAAGTGTAGAGCCCTGTGCCTGAACATGGGGTGGAGGAGGGGGTGTCTTTAAGTGTTTGCTGAAAGAGTGAATACATAAATACGTGTGCAGTGCTTCCCAGTTTCCAAAGCATTATCTCATTTATCTTTATGTTGCCCCTGGGGGAAGGAGTGTTAAATCCTCTCCATGTCGCTGTGGCTTAGAGAAATAGGTTGGCTTGCTCAAGACAAGTAAATACACCAGGATGGCAAGTCCAGACTTGGGACTTTTACAATTTTTTCTTTTTCTTTGTTTTCCTTACTTATTTGAAAAGAAAAGAGACAGAAACAGAGCGAGATCTCCCATCTGCTATTTCATTCCCCAAATGCCTGCAACAGCCAGATCTGGGCCAGGTTGAAGTCCTGGCGGGGAAGCCAACCCTGCTCTCCTATGTGGAAGACAGGGATCCAACCACTTGAGCCAATCCTTGCTACCTCCTGAGCTATGTATTTGTAGGAATGCTGAAACTGGGAGCAGAGCTGAGACTCAAACCCAGGCATTCTGATAGGGGATGTGGGGGTCCCAAGCAGTATCTCCACCATTAGGCCAAATGCCACATTAGTTTCGGACTTTTTTCCCCCATCTGCTTGAAAGGCAGAGGGAGGGAGGGAGGGAGAGAGGGAGGAAGAGAGAGGGAGAGAGAGAGAGATGCATCTCCCATTCACTGATTCACTCCTCAAATGCCAGCAACAGCCAAGGCTGGACCAAGTTGAAGCCTGGAGCAATGGAACTCCACCCAGGTCTCCCACATGGTGACAGGGACCCAAGCACTTGAGCCATCATTTGCTGTCTCCCAGGATACATTAGCAGGAAGATGGATTGGAAGTAGAAATGCCAGGACTCGAACTGGCACTCCAGTATGTGATGCAGGCCTCCCAAGTAGTGGCTACCTGCTAATTTTGGACTTTTGACCAGGAATTTTCCTCCCTTTCTCTTGCCTCCCACCCACCCCAGCCTGGTCGGGGCTCTAGAAGGCACCTCAAGCCTCATACTGATACAGTGAACCTCTATTCACTCCACTGCAGACACACTGGCTTATCTCCACTAAGTGGGGTTCCTCTTTCCTGACCACCACTGAAATGATCCTACAGATCTCTGCTTTCATGTCCAAACCCAACAAAAGGTCAAGGGAAAGCTCCTGGGGTGTGTGACATTCTTGTCTGTTTTATATTTGAGATCCTTCATGACCCTTTCTGTGACAATGCACAGAACTTGGTTGTCCAAAGAGACACAAACAAATTCAAAGTGGCTACTTCCCTCCAGGAAACTTGGGGGCAGCCCGCAGGAGCATAAAGTGTCCTCCTGATGTCCCTGAGGGAGCCATTCTCCCCTCTTGTCTGCCCACTGTCCTCTTTTCCCTTTCTTCAGGCTTTCTTTAGTTCTTCTGAAAAGCCTGTCTGCTCCTCTCTGCCTTTAGCTCCTTCTTTCCCCTTGTGCTCCTTGCATTTTCTTCTTGGCATTCTTAGCATCTATTGAGCATCTACTATATGCCAGACGCAATGTCAGGAGCCTTACAAACATCATCTTATTTAATCCTCACAACAGTCTGTTTGGTAAATATCATCATCTCCAATTTATAAATGAGATAATGAAGGCTCCAAGAGATTGCATAACTCACATAAGACCATGTGACTGTATTAGTGGAAATTGGGTTTCGCCCTGGGTTTGGCTGGCTCCAGAGTCCTTACACAGCCCTGCTTCCTTCCTGTTTCTTCCTCTTTCTCCCTTTCACTGTGCATCTTTTCCCCAGCTATATCTTTGTCTTCCTTTACAAGTCTCTTTTGCCTCCTTTGATTTTATCTGACTACAGCAGTGTCTGAATCTGGGCAAGTCACTTCACCTTTCCAAATCACTTAGTCTCTCTGAATGGCAGACTCCTCTCTTGTCAAGTAGGAATAGTGACAGCGTCCTCCTGCTGGGAGCAGTTGGGAGGATGGAGCGAAATGATGAATACGTCGCTGCACGCCACTTGCCCGTTATCATGGCCGCCCCTTTCTGCTCTCCTCTCTCATCTTGCTCCTCTCACCTCTTCTTCTTCCTCCCTCTTCCATCACCTTCTCCCACAAAGGAGGGGATGCCTTTCGTCCGCCTCCTTCTCCCTATTATTCCACCATCCACAGAGAATGCTGCAGCAAAGCTCCTTTCCTCCCCGCCCCCAGCTGGAAGGTACTCACAGCTCCCATCAGCCCCTCCCCCATGGGGGTGCTGATAGCCTTGCCTGTGGCCCACTTCCCAACCTGAGAAAGGCAAGCTGCAGAAGTGCCTGCTAATTGTGGACATGTGATGAAGGAGGAGGCAGCTGCTGGCTCATTATCCCCAGGCTGTGGAAACCATTGGCTTCAGACAGCTTTTCTTTAATAAATATCACCAAAAGATTGACTCCGAGATCTTTGACTGGCTTCTCACAAATGGTTGGTGTTTGGAGAGGCAGGACGAGTATATAACTTGTCCAGAAGGGGACAAACAGGTAAAGTAGTAAATGGGCTTTGACCTTCAGTTTGGATGAAGATGAGAACACAGGTCAAGGCCAGGGCACAGATCTCTTCTGAAGAGTTGGCACTGAGAAGACATGCCACATTGTGCAGGAGGGCAATGAATGGCTAGAGGCCTGGGGGATTGGGATTTGAATACGTCTCCATCACTACCAGCTCTGTGACCTTGGGCAAGCTGCCTAATCGCTTTCAGCCTCCATCTCCTCATCTGTAGAATGAACTGAATATTACCTGCCTCATAGGGTGGGAGTGAGAAACACACCAAAGAATGTGAAGTGAATGGTGTATGGAATACATGATTATTTCCTTTCCTGTCTGTCCTCAGCCCACCACAATCTCAGCTTCTTTGCCTCCCCATCATCTCCCAAGGCCTTTGGGGGAATGCTGTTTTTCTTCATTGTGCAGGGTCAATCAGTAAACCAGGTCTTTATTGAACATTGACTTTATGCCAGGTCTCGTGTTGACTGCCAGGATCAAACTCAGCTGTGTAGACACACCACTAAGAATGTCAATCCTTCACATCTGCATAGACCTTAACAGTTCACAAATACAGGTTTAAACCTGTGGGGTGGTATTTGGTTTAGTGATCAGACGCCCCATTTCCGAATGCCTGGGTTCAATTCCTGGCTCCAGCTTCGATGTCAGCTAATGTGTACCCTGAGAGGGAGCAGGTGATGGCTCAAATAGTTGGATTTGTGCTATCTATGTGGGAATCCTGAACTGAGTTTCCAGCTCCTGGCTCCAACCCGGCCCCAGCTGTTGCAGGCATTTGGAGAGAGAACCAGTAGTTGGGAGCTCTCAATCTGTCCTTTCGTGCTGCCTCTCTACCTCTTGAATAAATTTTAAAAAATAAAGTGATCTATTTAGAAACATCAACACAACTTTGTTAAGGTGGGGCAGGGGAGAGCAGACAAGGGTTGTCTCTTGTAATTTGCAGATTAGGAAACCAAGGATCAGCATAAGTTTCTTGTCTTACTTTCAGTTGGACCAGTAATAGATCAATCTATAACATTCTAATCCAGGTAGAGCAAACCAGAGGCCATACAATGCAGGAGAGGGAAGCATGGCAGGAGAGGAAAGGAGGAAGAAGCTTCCTGAAGCTAGTGGGGTTGTGAACCTTTAAAATCAGAACTGAGAGAGAACGTTGTGGCATAAGGAGTAAAGCCGCCGCCTGCAGTGCCGGCATCCCATATGGGCGCCAGTTTGAGTCCTGGCTGCCCCACTTCTGACCCAGCTCTTGCTGTGGTCTGGGAAAGCAGCAGATGATGCTCCAAGTCCTTTGACCCCTGCACCCATGTGGGATGCCTGGAAGAAGCTTCTGGTTTTGGATCAGCTTAGCTCCAGCCATTGCAGCCATTTGGGGAGTGAACCAGCAGATGGAGACCTTTCTCTCTGACTCTCCCTCTCTCTGTAACTCTAATTCTCAAATAAATAAATAAATCTTTAAAAAAAAATCAGAACTAGGCAAGTCTTTTTTTTTAGATTTTATTTATTTAGATTTATTTTGTTTATTTGAAAGGCAGAGTTACAGAGAAAGAGAGGGAGAGAGAGAGAGAGCTCTTCCATCCACTGGTTCACTCTCCAAATGGCAGTAGTCAGGGCTAGGCCAGGCTGAAGCCAGGAACCAGGAGATTAATTTGGGTCTCCCATATGTGTGCAGGGGCCCAAGGACTTGGGCTGTCCTCTGCTGCTTTCCCAGGTGCATTAGCAGGGAGCTGGATTGGAAGTGGAGCAGCTGGGACTCAAATTGGCACCCATATGGGATGTCAGCATTGCAAGCAACGGCTTAATCCATTATGCCACAATGCCAGCCCTGAGTTAAAGTCTTTTACCTAATTAATTTTTCATTCTTTAAGACTTATCTTAGATATGACTTCTTCATTTTCTTTTGTGTTTTTCTCTGCCATAGCACTTGTTACCCTGTGTGGCAGAAGTCCATTTGACAGGGGCTGGAGTTTTGGCACAGCAGGTAAAGCTGATGCTGGCACCCTATATGAGTGCCAGTTCGAGTTCTGGCTGCACTGCTTCTGATTCAGCTCCCTACACTTGGGGAGGAGGTGGAAGATGCCCAAGTATTTGGGCCCCTGCCACCCACATGGGAGACCCAGATGAAGCTCCTGGCTCCTGGCTTTGGACTGGCCCGGCCCTGGCCACTGCAGCCATCTGGGGAGTAACCAGTGGATGGAAGATTTCTCTCTCTCTCTCTCTCTCTTCCTCCT